CGCCCGCTACTGTAGCGCCGGCGGGGAGCCGGTGTGCGGCTCCGACGGAGTCGTCTACACCAGCGCCTGCCACCTGCAGGAGGCTGCCTGCCTAGGCCGCGCGAGATCGGAGCCCGCGCCCCCTAGCCACTGTGCCCTCGGTGAGGACCCACCTTGGGTCTGGTCTCTGGGACCTCAGCTCCCCCTGGACCTAGCGCATTGCCCTATCTTCTTCATCACCTCTCCCTCCGATGACCTCCTCCCCAGCACCTCCTCCCTCCTGTCTAGCATCGCGCTCCTCTTCCTCCCCTGCTCTCCCCTTTCCCCCACCCCCCTCCCTCTCTCACAGCCCTTGATTCCCCGTCTCTCCCTGATCCTCCCAGCTTTCCCCCCAGCTGTGGCCCCTGCATCTCTCCTCCAGTCTCTGTCTTTTTGTCTCTGTTCCTTAGGCTCTGTGTCCTCCCCCATCTCCGGTTCCTTGCCTCTGGGTTTCTGCCGCTCCTCAGTCTTGCTGAGTCTCTCCCCACCCCCACCCCAAGTGTGTGCCTTTCTGCATCTACTACCCATCTCTCAACCCTGTGTCCCCTTGCCCCACCCTTGTGACCTCCCACCTCCTGCCTGTTGCTCTGGGACACATCATCTCCTTTTCATGGTCTCTCTGAGCTGTCTGCTATCCAGATCCTCTCCCTCCAGTGCCCTCCTACCGACCTAGCCCCCCCTTCCTTCCAGAGCAGCTGACACCGGCCTCTGCCTCCTACAGCTATGACTATGACCCAGCTCCCCCAGACGCTGGGCACCTGGCAGCAGGCCATGGCCATGAGGTGATGGACTTGGAGGGGGAGGCAGAGGACAGGTGAGAGCTAAGCCCCCCCGCCCCAACTCCTTCCCCCTAGTTGCCCTGGACCTGACAGGGAGTGGGAGTGACCAATAGACAGGTCAGCCTGCAGGTTTCCAGGAACATGGTGGGGGATCCATTCTCTCTTCTCCCCACAGTCTGTCCAACACCCATCAGAGAACAGCCTGTACGAGCGTGGGGAGGCTGAGCCCTCCCGAGGACACAACCCCAGGACAGACCTGCCCATGAGGCGCCCTGGAACCCCGTTAAAGAAAGAAATTATTCACGATGCTTGTTAAGATGGCAAGGAAGACTGTTCAAGGGAGGGGACTGGTGATAGGTAGCAGGTCATGCAGTGGGGTCTTGCAGTGGAGGGGAAGGCAGGACGCAGCTCTGAATACTACAAGACAAAGTGGGGGTTTATAGCCAAGGGTCGGGGGGGGGTCAGTGGACGGAGAATTACTGACCGGAAACATCAGGGATGAAGGGGGGATTGTGGCTGAACCCACCTAACAGCATTCCCGCTAAAGGCAGGCCAGGGTATCAGACAGTGCCCCAGGGCTGGTGGGAAGGAGGAACTCGATTAAATATTAGATATCGAGGGTGATCAGGTATGGAGTGGGAATTCGGGCTTAAACTGATGTAGAGCGTTCCTGCTATAATTAGACAGTGCTGAGATGAACACCAAAGCCCAGAAGTGGAGACCTAGTCAAAAAGAGTGGAGTTTGATCAGAGAATCTTTGTCTCCCCAGGGGAGGGAGGAGGAAGTGGGTGGGAGACCAGAGAGCCCTGTGGGGTGAGGCTGAGAAAGGGCTGCCAGGCCGACTTCCTGGAGGAGGCGAATCTTTTGGGTCTAGTTACAACATACTCAAGAGTTTTAAGCCACAGGTTGACTTTAATCAGCTTAGGTAGGTGCCAGCCCCTGGAGCTGGCTGCACTGTCAGGCCTCGGGCTGTGTCCACCCATGCCCGGCCTGCCTTGGCAGGGTCTCCCTACCGCGCGCTAGTGGCGAAGGCAGGTTGTCAGCGTCATTCAGCAAACTTAGCGGAATTCTTTTCCACCAGTATCCAGCAAAGTCCCAGAAGTTCAGGCCTGCGTCATCCCACACCAAGCACTGGGGCTTGGTCCATGGGCATCTAAGATAGATAATTATTGGTAGAGCTGGGCTTATGGCTATTGTTTCAGTATTTGTTCTGTTTTGTCCTCCGTGTGCCTCCTTTTGCATGTATGGAATATTTTTTTAGGATTCCATTTTGATTCAGCCCCTGGGGATTACAATATACATCCTTAAACTTTGCAGCTTACTTGTTCATTTCACCACTGTCACATCTGAGTCTGCTGTTTTCCCCCATGGGTAGCTTTGTGTCATCACCACCATAGGCAAGGTACACAGCAGCTGCCCTTTTATAGCCACGCCCACCCGGAGAGTCTGTCGTTCCGGGAATGCTGTGTAAACGGAATCCTCTGGAGATCAGCTTTTCTCACTTAGCGGAGTTCCCTTGCCATCCACCCACGTTGTTGTGTGGACCAGAAGTGAACAACCTGTCCTATCACCGTGACCCGGTGGGGGTGGGCAGGGTCCTGAGCGTATTCTCCCAGGGGGGATGCACCTGCCCCAATGGGCAGAGGCAGCCAGGCTGAGCCACGACGTGGAGGTGGGTTCAGCAAAGGGCACGCCGGCCCCGCCGAAGGCCTAGCAGCCCACACGGTGTCTTTCTTTTTTTCTCTCCAGTCAGAGTGGCTTCTCTTCCTAACGCTCCGAGCAGGAGGACTTGATCTGGCTGCGTCCTGTCCCTGTCGGCCCCACTGGAAGGGGGCCACTGATGGGAGAGTTCCCTTAACTCTCTGGTGGGCTGGCGGACCCTGCCCCAGGTGACCGCAACCCAGCCTCTAAATGAACCTGATACACAGAACGCAGAGACCTGCCTCGATGGATGACGGGCCTCCTCCCAGCCCTCCCTCAACAGAAGGGTCAGCCTTGATCCCCCCACTTCCCCAGCTGCACCTGGGGCTGGGCACCCCCTCCTCGGGCCAGAGCAGCTCCCGCTCCAGGAGAGGGGATGCTCCTGGGAAGGACCTGTGGCCAGGGGCCTCTGTCGGAGGAGACACGATGACATTTAGCCAAATCAGGGACATAGATAAGCATCCATCCCCTCATCACCAACTTCAAAATGAAACAGGCCTCCTTTCGCCAAAATGCAAAGCTTGGGCCCTCTTTGGGGCACCTGGGCTGCCGAACCCCTGGACCTAGACCTCGAATTGTCCCATAACTGTCACATTCCCCACACCCCCCCCATCTTGTCTCACCCCAGGGGTCCCCGAATGTTTGGTGCCAACAGGGCCAGGCCCTCAGGGAAAGCCATATGGGGACTGCCCTCTCCCAGCTTCCTGGCGGGGGAGCCCCAGCTCCGCAACCAGACCTGCCTTCCTCGGGGGACCCTCCAGCTGTGGTCACATTCCTCTCTGTGACCCTCAGGGCATACCTGTTTCTGGTCCCTCACGGGCATGGCCTGTCTTCTCTCCTGTGCAGTGGTATTTATGGCGGCCAGTGCTGCTCGTCTCTGACCTCCAGCAGGGACAGCACAGAGACCCTGAGGGCGCTGCCCAGCCAGTGGGTCCCTGGCCATTTCCCGCGCCCCTCACCCCCGCCAGCCCCCGCTCCCTGTGGAGGCCGCTCCCATAATAAAAGCTCCTTTCCAGAGTCACAGACAGGCTTTGGCCTGGGTGGGGGAGCAGCACTGAGGGCTGGAGGCCCAGCTCCCGTCAGGCCCCCCAGCACCTCTGTTCCCTAGTCTCCAGCTCGGCCTTTCCGGGCCGGGCGGGGAGGAGCCTTTCGAACACCTGCACCCCAACCTAATCATAGATTCCCGTGCATTTGTAAGAAATTCTACCGGGACAGAGAGGTCTACCGTTCACCCAGCCTCCCCGCACCCCTGCCCCAGCGGTAACATCTTGGAAAACTCCTACATCATCAACCAGGCTACTGACATGGGTATACTTCGCTGATCTTACACTTCTCCAGGCTCACGGGCATGTGCGTGTGTCCTGGGGCTGCCCATCCACTGGCTCATTTTTCTCTAGACCAGACGCATACGGGCCCCGATGGGGAGCCCAGGAACGGCCCCCACCCCCCTCTGCCTTGGGAGAGCCTCCCACAGTTGACGTCTCCATGGCTCCAGACAAAGTGCCCCATGCTGTCCCCACCCCTTGCGGTACACCCCCACCACTCCATTCAGAACGGCTCAGACCCGGGGTAAACAGCTTGGGGTGGGGGTCGCAGGGCTGTAGCCCCTGCCCAGGCCCACCGGTCCACCCTCCAGTTGCCCACCCATCTGGTCCTGGGGTGGTGGGGGACGTTAACATCAAGAAGAGTCAGACCTTGGGTTAAGGGGAAGAGGTACCGCCCTGCCTCCAAGGTGACAGTAGGTGACAGTCCTGTGGGTCCCAATGACAGGCTGCACCGGGCTCTGGGGAGCAGAATGAGGGCCTCCACAGTGATTGTCCAGGAGACACCCCAAACCCTGGAGCCCATCCCAGGGCTAGATGCTGGGCTTTGGGGAAGGAGGACTGCCAACCAGCCTCCTGGCTGCCTGGGCCACGAGGGGGCGGGCGGCCCAAGCCTCCTCCTAGGAGGGGGTTCCTGGAGCGGGTCCATGGCAGCATCAGCCTTGCCTCTGCCCCACCTTGGACGTGAGGGAGCTGGCTGGGCCTGGGAATATGCATTTAACCCCTATATTCATTTTTTGGTGCTGCTCTAACCCCAAACCACAAAACAGGCGACTTAAAACAACAGAAATTTATTCTCTGACTATTCTGGAGGCCAGAAGCTTGAGATCAGGATGTGGGCAGGGTTCGCTTCTTTGGGGGGCTCCGAGGGAGGGCGTCTCAGGCTGCCGTCCCGGCTTCTCGTGGCTGCTAGCAGTCGTCCTGTTCACCCCAATGTCTGCCTTCGTGGTCAGATGGCCTCTTCCCCTGTGTGTATGTGGGCCTCTCCTTATAAGGACGCTGGTCACAGCAGATTTAGGGCTCCCCCTACGCCAGTATGACCGAATTTTAATAACACCTGCAAAGACCCTATTTCCAGATGAGCTCACGTTCAGGGGTTCCCGGTAGACATGAATCAGGAGAGGGCCCCGCTCGACCCCGCACGACCCCCTCTCCACCTGCCCCGCCTTCTGGGGGGCCTTCACACGAGTGAGGTGGACCGGGTGCGAGTTCCCTGGGCGCCCCCCTCCCTGGAGGCGGTGGAGGCCCCCCGAGCTACGCAGAGCAGCCCCTCCCGCACCTTGTCCCTGAACTCCGCAGACACGTAGTAGTAGATGAAGGGGTCCACGCAGCTGTTGAGGGTGCTGAGCGCCAGGCTGGGCACATAGGCGGCGTACAGGTCCCCCCAGGCGTCCGGGCGCGGGTCCGAGTAGTGCAGCAACAGCAGTACGTTGCTGGGCACGAAGAAGGCCACGGCCGAGGCCAGCACCAGCGCGGTGAGCCTCAGTGCGTGGCCGTAGCGCGGGCCGCCGGCCGCCAGCGCGCACAGGGTGGCCCCGTAGCTCAGCAGCATGACCAGCAGCGGCAGGAAGCAGCCGAGCACGGCCAGGCAGAGGAAGGTGGGCCGCCAGTAGGAGGCCTGGGCGCCCACGGGCAGCGCGTCATGGCACAGCACGTGGTCCGAGTGCGACAACTGGAAGGTCTGCGGCTGCAGCGCCAGGGGCAGCGCCAGGGCGCCGGCCACCAGCCAGGCCACCACGCAGAGCCCAGCGGCCAGGCGCCTGCCGCGCAGGGTGAGGGCCCGGAGCGGGTGCACCACGCCGAGGTAGCGGTCCAGGCTGACGGCGGCCAGCAGCAGCACGGAGCCGTACATGTGGCCATAGAGCGCGGCAGTGGTGGCGCGGCAGGCGGCCTCGCCGAACGGCCAGTGCTGGTCCTGCAGGTGGTAGGCGACGCGCAGAGGCAGCGTCAGGGCCAGCAGGAGGTCGGCGGCCGCCAGGTTCATCAGCAGCATGGTGGAGGGCAGCCGCGGCACCCGGGTGGCCAGCACCCACAGCGCCAGGCCGTTGGCGGGCAGCCCCACCAGCAGGGTCAGCCCGTAGAGCGCGGGCACCAGCCTCGTGGACACCCAGCCCAGCAGCAGGGCCCGAGAGCTGTCTGGGAGCTCCAGAATGTTGCTGCTGTTGGCCTGGAGCTGGCCGGGGAAGCTGCGCAGGTGGGGTGAGTGAGGGGTCTCCTCCTGGGGCCCGCTCAAGGGCCCCACTGTGCCATCTGGGGGAAAGGGGATAGAGGTGTTGAGAGTCCAGGCGTCACCCCCCCTCCCCCCCCCTCCAACCCCCGCTGGTGCTGCTCCCGGTGCGGCGGTGGTGGCGGGGGGTGGGGGGGGGAGTGGTGCTACAGTCCAGGCAGGCCCCAGCTCTCAGGAGCCCCCAGCTTGGTGGGTCAGAGCTGGACACGACACCCCCAGCCCCATGGGCTCCGGGCTGGGCTGGAGGACCCCCCTCCCCAATTCCCTGTCTCCCACTCATCAACTCTCCTAGGCCTCCCCCGCAGGCCCAAGACAGGGCCCAAGGTCACTCACCATTACCTGCCTCCGTGCTCCCCATCTCGTCGTAGGTGAGGGTGTTCTGGCTATCATCTTCCAGGCTGAACCCCAGCACCACGGGCCACAGCAGCACGAGTATCCACATGCTGCCAGGGCTGGGCGCCGGCTGCTCTGGGCTGTGGCCACTGACCTCAGGCTTCCTGCCTGGCTGACCCCCACCCCCAGCTTCCTGAGCGCCAGTGGAGGAGTGGACAGGGCCCAGTGAGATAAACCAGCCCCTGCCCCCACAAGCCTGCGGCAGGCCCGCAGTGTGGCCTGAGGAGGCCTGGGAGCTAGCAGTCAGTCAGTTCCACACGCGGGGGCCAGGTGCGGGGCCAGCAGGATGGGGGAGGAGGTTCCAGGCTGCACTCCCCACCCTCAGCCCCCGTCCAGCCCAGAAAGCCTCTGTGGGCCAAGTGGCTACTTCCTGCTATCCAGTCCTGTCTGCAGCCCCTGTTCCCACGACAGCCTGCCGGGTCACGTACTCAGGGGCTCTGGGTCCTTCCTGAAACCTCTCCCCACCTCCTGCCTGTGGCTGGCTAGACCACAGCCCTGCCTCCCCAGGTCACAGATCAGAGCGCGTGAGCCATCCTCCCCCTCTCCAAGCACCCCAGGTCCTCTGTGGGGGCTGCCTGCCTTATTGCTGCCTCACTCATACCCCAGCCCGCTCCCCTGGGCAGGCAGGCCCAAAGTGAGGTGCAGAGAGGGGAAGGCACTTTGTGAGACTGGGGTATCTGAGGAGGTCTTGGTCCTCGGCCCGGACCCCCAGTGCTGACCTGGGGAGCAGAGTGGAGCCCAGCTTCGGCCCCCTTCGGTGCCCAAGAGCCCTTTCTGCTCCCGTCCTGGCTCCGTCCTCCCCCTGGGGCTCTTGGGACTGGTCATGGCCATACCTCAGCCTGAGAGTGGTGGTCAGACCAGCCCTGGACAGAGGGTCCCTGAGCCACCCACCCTCCTCTGGCCCCTCCGCGACCCGACCCGGCACTCAGACGGGGCCTATTGTGCAGCTGAAAAAAACGCAGAGGGGCTCAGGGGGGAGGGTACGCCTTCTCTCTTCTGCACACAATCCCCTCTGTTGCCCCTCCGGGCGAGAGGCCTCGACCATCCTGCCCTGGGGAAGCTCTTCACGGGGGTTCTCGACCAGTGTGGTCAGGGTTAGGCCATGGTGGTGGTGGGGGGGGAGGGGGCGGTCTGAGAGCAAGAAGACCCTGAGGGGGTGGTGGGGGGTCAGGGAAGAAGAACTAAGGGTGGGAGAAGGGGAGCAATGTGGCCATGTCCTGGTCTGGGAGCCTTAATCTAGCCACACACTCGAGGTCACAGGGACCAGCCAGGAAGTGACCGAGCAGTCCTGGACAGAGTCAGTGCAGCTGAGGGTGAGATGCCAAGGTCCCTGCCCCCAGCCCAGGGTGGGGGACCGAGGCCTAGAGAGTTCTGGCTGGGACAGGGTCCTAGCCAGGAGTCTCCCCCGTTTCCGGACTGTTTCCACCGGCACCAGTGACAAATTCAGCCACGCCTATGTCTCTTGGCAGTTCGTGGCCAAGGTCATGCTCAGTGCACAGGGGAACCCAGATGAGGATCCCCTCCTGCCCTCCAGGAACGGAGCAGGGAACCTGTGCACGGGAGGCTGGGGCTCTAGCAGGTGGGCGACTCTGGGGCAGGGTGGACGGTAGCCCCCCAAGGAGGGTGGTTTGACTCAGGAGTCCTGTGTCTGGGAATCGATGGCAAGCACACGCACACAGGAAATTGCCCATACAGGGGTGTTCCCCGCCGCACAGAGGTGGGGATGCCTATCAACAGCCCCATCACAGAAACCACCCTGTGCCAGCCGGGGTGGGGGGCCCGACACAGGAGTTGCAGGGCGACCTGCCACGGTGAGGCACTTTTTGGACGATGCTGGGTGGCAGCTGCTTTGGGGAGAGGGACTTAGGTGCCTACTTTTCTCTGTGTGGTTTTTTTTTTGTACTGTTGGAATTTTCTATATCATCTGTCACTTTCCATAAAAACTCACATTTTATTTATTTATTTATTTAGCTCCGTGCCCAGCATGGAGCCCAACGCGGGGGCTTGAACTCACCACCCTGACATCAAGACCTGAGCTGAGACCGAGAGTTGGACACTTAACTGAGCCATCCAGGTGTCCCCAAAACTCACATTTTTTAAAAGGGTAGAATAGTAGCTTTAAAAAGGAGGGAAAATCTGATACAAGCTCTTCCACAACATGGATGAGCCTTGAGGACATTATGCGGAGTGAGATAAGCCAGTCACAAAAGCATCAAAGCTGTATGATCGCCAAAGATGAAGTCCCTCCAGGGGTCAGGTTCTCAGGAACAGGAAGGAGATGGGGGGCTCCAGGGGCTGGGGGCGGGGGCCGGGAGCCCGCGTTTCATGGGGACAGAGCTGCAGTTTGGAAAATGGCGAGTCCTGGAGATGGAGGGTGGGGATGGCCGCACAACCATGTGAAGGTACTTAAAGCCACTAGACTGGATACTTAGAATGGCTAAATTTTATGTGTATTTTAACACAATTAAAAACTTATTTAAAATAGTGGGGCGGGGGGAAGGGCAATCAGGTCCGAGTCAGTAGCTAGTGCTGGATTCCTTCAGCTTGCAGCCCCACCTGCACCCCCAGAAGCCCCCAGAGCCCCTCTTGGCCCACCTCACCGTCTCCAGTGTTAGATGGAGGTCAGAGCACCAGTTAGAGACGCCACGAGTCCTTCCAACGTGACGCCTCTCGCGGAACCGTCTTCGTGGAGACTGTGATTTCTTTCTGTTGTACTCTGAAGGCAGATGGGCACCCACCACTATGCCTCCATTTCCCCTTATTCCCGGACCGGGCCTCAGCCTGTGGGCAGGGACAGTAACCCACTTCCGGCCAAGAAGAGGGTGCTCTGACCCCGGCCAGCTTTGAGGTCTGGCTCTCCCAACCCTAGATGCCCCGTGTCTCCTCCCGGGGACCTCAGTCCCAGCTGCTCCATCGGGCCACATGCTGGAGCTCGGAGCTGGGGCAAGGCGCTGGAGACCCTCGGGCAACCTTCCAGCAACCGTGGTTGTGGAGGTGCTGGGTGCATTCAGATCTCACCCCACACCTCCAGCCCTCAGCCTCCTACTGGGAGGTCCTACCTGCCCCCGTCCCCACCCACCCCTCCTGAGACTGCCTTGAGGTCAACTTGCTGTCCAGAACAATCAGCCTCCTTCTCGGCCAGGACATCAGGGGTAAAGTGTGGCTTATACCTTGCAAAAGGTATAACAGAATAAGAGGAGAGAAATAATAGAATAAATAAGAGAATAAATGTGCATCAGGCCCCACTGGAAGGCCCCCCTCCCCCCCCCAAGCATCACACACCTGCTCCCTCTACCACCCTGGGGAGGGGAGGGCCGCCTACCTGGTCCTGCGGCTCGGCCCCTCCCCAGACTTGAAGGAGGGAGGAAGAGAGGTGTGCGGCGGTGAGGATGGAGGGCTGCTTTATTTATCAGGCCTGTTTTTCACTGCGGTGCAATCCAGGGCTGCAGACGCGGTGGCTTGGAACGACAGGCCCTTAGGATCTGGCGCCTCCGTGGGTGAGGAGTCCGGGCCTGGCAGGCTGGTCCCCTTGCTCAGCGCCTCACCAGGATGCAGGCTGGGTGTCCACAGGGCCGGGTCCTCATCCACACTGGTCATTCCCCCTTCCCAACAGGGCCAGGAGACCCTCCCTCCAGTTTCTCCTCTAGCAACCTGATCGCAGCCATAGGGGGCCCGCCCACTCCGGGGACCCGGTGCCCTTTCCCCTGCCCTTCCCAGAGGCTGCAGCGGCCGGGACCCACACCCCAGGACACCTCTCCCAGCGCTTCCAACCGGAAGGCCAGTCCGTGGGCACACAGGGCCCTGGGACCCATCCTCGACGTGGGCTTGAGGCAAGGAGGAATCTGGGACAGCTGAGCCTCATTCACCAAACTCCCCAGGAGCCCCGACTCTCTGGAGGGGGAGGTGTGCAGCACCAGGGGACATCGTGTGTGGGGTGCACATGGACGAGGGGTTCCCTGGAAGGCAGCAAGGACCACTCGGGGAGATGGAGGACCACACCTGGGAGAGGACAGACCCCGTGGGCAGCGCAGTCTCAGCTCAGAGACTTGACTGGTGAGGCCTGGCGGTGGGCACTGGGGGGGAAGTGGAGGTAAAGGCCAGCCAGGAGCCTCAAGGAGTATCCGCTAAGAGGACCCTAAGAAGAGCTGTGGTCTCCCACTTCCTTGGAGGCGGGGCTGGATGGGAGCAGGCCCAGGTGAGCTCAGAAGGGGTGATGACAAAGTCACAGGAGGTGTGTTGAGAGGAAGGGGGGTGCCCAGCTGGGAGCAGGGACCAGAGAGCACGGAGGGAGGGTGGCTTTGTGGGGTGCGGGAGGGAAAGACAGCGTGCTGGGCAGGCGGAGCAAGCTCAGAGCCAACACCAGTCTTTAAATTGGGTTTCCCATGCACAACACTCAAAGGAAACACCGCTCCTCTCCTTTCTACTGAAAATAAAAACTGAGTTGGGAATGAACATTCCAAAAAACTCTGTGGGTGGGGTGACACCCTGGCGGGGGGCGGGGGTGGGAAGACAGGGCCCTCCTGCAGAGGCATGGGGTGGCCACAAGGGGGCGGCACTTGGGGTCTGGGAACTGCGGGGGCGCAGGGGCAGGTGGGGATTAGACCGCAAGCAACAAGGATGGAGAGGATCTCATGGAGTTAGGTCAATATTTAATTTTTAACTTTAATGTGCAAATAAATAGAAAAGGAAAACTACATTCAAAACAGCTGCAAAGGAAGTACAAGCCCCAGAACAGAAATTCTTCAAAAACAGAAGAGACGCTCCCTAGAAGCATGCAGGGCGGGGCTCGGCAGGGTGTGGCCCGCGCCCCAGGCCCACACGGAGGCACGGAAGGGGCCACGGGCTCCCAAGGATGGCGCCGGGAAGATCTGGTTCAGGAATTCTGGTAAGTTCCCTTCTTACAAAACAAGGATGTGGACAAAGTGCCTGGTAGACTTGAGCAAACACGGGCTAGGAGACCCTGGGCGGGGCACGCTGGCCCTGGAATCGCCCAGACCCCGAGTCAAAGGCTTTGCAAACCTTGAGTTCCACAGGTAACTCCTAGAAAACTTCTAGAAACATGTCTCCACTTCCCAGAACCGCGGATTTGGCACAGCTCAGTTTTGGGAGGGTGAGGGCTGGCCGCTGGCAGAAGGGAAGCTGCACACAGGGATGGCCCCGCTGTTGGTCGATCCCCTTCTGATGGTGCCAAAAGCCCGGCCAGGGCTTCTCAGGGTGCAAGAATTCTAAAGACCTGGTCCCTGGCCCGAACTGCTTGGCATTCTTGGCACAGAAAACCTTGCACACCTCTGTAGGACAGTTGCCTCAGCCCCTCACGCCCATACCCCGTCCAAGCGGTGGCTGTAGGAAGAGCAATGTCAAGGGCAGGTCTGCAGAGTCCCATGAAGAAGGCTCTCACTGCCCAAGGAACCGTGGGACTTGGCTGTTGCAGAAGTTACAACCACTAAGAGAGAGCTTACGAATAAATATGTGTGCGCATATATATATTTTTCTAGAATGTCCTTCTTAGGTACACGGTCGCACCACTGGGCCCTCCCAGTGTGGGGCCGCTTGAGCTCAGCGGGAGTCTCAGGCTGAGCCCCCTCCCCTTGAGAGCTCCAAGTGCGGCTGCCAGGTCAATACAGGGTTAGGAGTCTCATTTTTTCCAGAGTGGGGTCTTCTCGACAGTTCTGGTGCTGCCCACCCACTTTACATCTTGACAAAGCAGAATCTCAACAGTTTGGCTGAAAGGGCTCCTCCTGCTTTCAAAGTGACCAAGGACCCCAAGCATCAGCTGGGCCTAGCTCAGGCCCCGACTGCCAGATGCAGGCACGGCCCAGCTCGGGAAGTTTCTGGAAGCTTTCAGAACCATTCAGGAAGGACGTGCTTTTCAAGCAGCTCCACCCCGGCCTGACTCCTTCGATGCTGGGGTCTCTCGAACCCCAACACACGCCCCCGCCCGGTTCATCACGGACTTTTCCAGACACTGTATGCACAAAAGGACCGGTGGTGCCCCCGCCTGGGGATTTGGCACGTGTGACGAAAGCGGCCCAGCAGGTGCATAAAGGCAATCACTTGCTCCTTGGCTCGCGTGTGGATCCTCCCCCTTCCAGCAGGGAGTGAGCCCCCCCGAGTTCAAGGGCAGGAAGGACTCAGGTTTGGCACAGGACGGGCCCAAAGGAAGCAGGGAAGCCGAAAGGGATGGCAGCACGGGGCCACAAGCCAACACAACCCCACCGTTCTCGGGCGCTCGCAGCCTGTAGCAGCGAGGCTGGGGGTCGCTCCGCGCCCCTCAGCTGGTTCGTGAAAGCGCCCGGTGCAGCTGTGCGCCGGGGCAGCGGCCGCGGACGGAGTCAGGGCGAGGCCGCACGGCGACTGTACTGCACCCGGTAGCGGGTCACCGGCAGCCCGTGCACGTGCGCCGTCTCGCAGAGCGTCTTGCAGGGCACCATGTCTTCGTCCTCCTCGCCCATCAGCCAGTCCTGCACCAGGCCAGCCGCCTCCACCGTCACGTTGTCCTCCAGCCAGCGGCCGTGCCACTCCTCGAAGTGCTGGTGGTGGCGCAGCAGGACCAGGGGCTGTACCTGCGGTGGGGGGGGGGAGGCGGGGGGGAGCAGGGGTGCGGAGTCAGGGCAGCCCCAGACGGCCGTGGGCCAGAGCCCGGAGCCCAGGGGCACACCCCTCCCAGAGGGCCATGGGCGGGGAGGGGCACCTGCTTGGCCCGGCAGAGGGTCCCGCGGCGGTACATGTAGTCCTCAGAGTTGACGATGAACATCATCTTGTGGGTGCTCAGCTTGAAGCGGCAGTCCACGTTGCAGGCACTCTCCACCCCGACCAGCCGCTTCCAGGAGCTCTTGGCCTCGCCACGCAGGGCGCGCACCTGCTCACACTGCCACCTGCGGAACTTCTTGAGGTTCCTGGGGGCGAGAGGAGGATCTGCAGACTGGGAAATCCTCCGGGCACGTAAGCATCGGGGAAGGCATCCGACTTCCCCGGGGTTGGAGAAATGCAAACGGAAGCAGTGGAAACCACCACCCAACCCCTCCCACCAGCAACGCGTGAAACCCAGTCAGGGCCCGGTGCTGCCGGCGGCGGGAGGGGCCTCCCTGGGCCCGCGGGGAAGGAAGCGCATGTGCGGGTCCTCTTACCTCTGCAGAAACACGGGCTTCAGGAGGAAGCCCTCAGTGGGCGAGCTGGACGCCCCCTCGGTACCCACGTACTGCTCCACGTACCGAGCCAGGTGCTGTGGGGCCAGAGGGAGGCAGGCCTGTGTTTTCATCCCCACCCCGCAAAAGCATTAGGAGGATGGCAGCTAGTGAGGAGCGGACGCATGACGGAAGCCACCAGACGGCGGCTCTGGATGGAGCACTCGTCTAGAGCCGTGAGTTCGACAGCTGTGGCACTTCATGCTCACGTGGATAAATCCCTGCCACGGCCCATCCTCTCTGTCCGTCACGTGACAAGCTCACACGGGGAACCGGGCCCTCACACAGAGGAGAGCCGGGTCTGGAGAGCAGGAACGATATCAAGACACACGCAGCAGGGCAAGTCCAGGGAGGAGTTGGGGGTGAGCAGAAGGTAGGGCTTGCAGGGGCCGCCTGGGGCTGTGTTGGGCATGGCCTGCAGTGTCCAGTGACCCTTCATCTACTCACCACCCTCTAAAAGCCAGAGGCTCCTCCAGACTCAAGCCTAACCAAACCACATTTGCTGGAAATTTCCGGAAGGGGCAGGATGTGCAAACCTCCGAAGCACGTAGGGAAGGATGCAGTGAGGGAGCCCCCCAGTGGGCTGTGGTGGGGGGGGGCCCTGACACTGTGAAGCAGGCTGGGGGCTTACAGGCCCCAGGACCCCAGGTGGAACGTGCATCCCAGAGTGAGGCCAGGGGATTTCTCCATCTCTGAGTCACGGAGCGCGAGCCAGGGCTCTGGGCTTTGTGCACGTGGAGCGCAGGCTCACGCACCCCAGGGTCTCAGCGACCATGCGGAGTGCGGGCCCAAAGCGGGCATCACAGTGTTGGCGGCAGGCGGGAGGAGCCAGGAACAGGGTTGTGGGGGGAGGGCGGCCCGACTCTCACATGGCCTCCTGCCCCGGAACACCCCCACTGGCTCCCCGCTCAGGCTTCCAAGGGCAGCGTTCGGGCTGCAAGTGAGGCTTCTCTGGGTGGACATTTGGCAGCCTGGGCTTGGCCAGTGTGTGCCCAGGGCTTGTGAGGGGGGCCCACAATGCTGGCCGTGGGTGCCCCTGACCCCCATGGTGGGTTCGAGGTGCAGAGCACGGGGGCTGAGGTTCTCACCTGGACCTCCACGGGGTCCTCTGTCTGGGCCTCCTCGGTGTCTAGAAGCTCGATGGTCATGATCACCTGCCCTTTGCGCTGGAGGAACATCACCTAGGGAAGAAGGGGGACGAGCAGCTGAAGCCACAGGGAGAGCCCAGGCGAGGCTGAAAGGGCATCTACGACTGCCTTCCCCGGCCTCCAGGGCCCAGTAAGAGGAGTGTGTGGTTATCAGGCAGGCTGGCAGCCACGTCAAGGCCCGGCCCCAACCCGCCTCCTGCACCCGAGCAAAGCCGCCGGTCCTCCCCCCTCCCCGTTGCGAGCGCCCCTCCTTGCAGCCCCGGCCTCATGGGGGACAGAGAGTGGCACCCCCCTTACCTTGAAGCAGTTCTCATCGGCCATGCACCGCTCGGCCTTCCACTGGTAGCTAGTCTCCCTGGCGGCGCGCACGCAGCGGGAGGACAGGTTCCCCCCCGCGGCACCCCGCTTCTTCTCGTTCAGGTAGAGCTCCACCACCTTCAGACAGACGTCGTCGCTCACGAGGTGGTGCAGCTGCGGGGAGGGAGAGCCAGTGGGCGCCCGGCAGGCCGCCCCCCGGGGAGGAGTGAGGCACAGCTGTCGCCCACCTCCCGCCGGAGGCCGCACAGCGCCCAGGGAGGAGGTCCGCCAAGTCCACGAGGTGGGCCTGGAGGCCAGGGTGCACCCGCAGCACTGGGGACACGCAGCACCGGACCAGATGGGAGACCAGCCCAGACCGCAGCAGACTGGACCAGACCAGCCTGGGCGTGAGGAACGCACAGAAAAAGTACCGAAAAAGTCCCCAAAATGGGGACAGGGATTATCCCAAGGTGGTGCCGTGGCAGATAATTTTCCCTAAGTGTTCTGCTATCAACACAATTAACTCTTGTAATCCCTATAAACGGACTTAAAACCTGCAGGTGCAGGAAGAGAGGAGCAAGGGAAGCAGCCGGGCGGCGGCGCCCTGGACAGGCTTCCGCAGACTCGGGGCCTTCCCCGCCGCCGCTTTGTTGAATAAATACAACGTGTGGCCACACGTAAATCTCACATGGTGCCTGGCACACGGCAAGGTCCCAGTAAACACCGGCCGCTGTTACTGAAAAGAAGAAATGCTAATCAAACAAGGAAGAAGAGGCAAAGAGCACCAACAGGGCCCCGCAGGCTGCCGACGGCGGCACAGAGGGCCCCGAGAGCATGCAGCCTGCTGGAAAGCGGGGAGCTCTCGGGGCAGGGGGTCCTGGCCCCTACCAGGGCTTCGGCTAAATACCCCCGTTTTTCTAGCTTTTAAGAAAAAAGAAAAAAAGAGTTCTACAGGAGACATTTGTGGAAAGGGGAATTAAAAAGAAAAAAAAAACCAAAACATTCATCAGAGTGTCCAGTCTGGTCCAACCTTGCTCTGGGTGCTACAGACGAGGCTGCTGTCCCCAGAACGGGGGCCCACTGGGGGCAGACTGGAGATGGCCAGCCCCGGGACGCATGCCCAGCCCTGTTAACGGCCTGAGCACTGGGGGCTGTCCCCGTGCCAGAGGCCAGGCCGCGGGTGCCTGCGCACGGGGAGGGCTGAAAGGAGGCAGGACTGGGGCTGTCTGGAAGACCCACCGAGCTGCACGCTTCGGATCTGGGCACGCTTCTGGGGGTGTTTTTGCCTCAAGGACAAGTTTGTAAAGCCTGAAAAGAAATGCCGTTTCTAGCGACCGTATCTGGGTGGGAGGGTCAGGACACTATTCTTTCCTTGGCTTTTTTGCTTTCCGGCGAATAGCCTTCCTGGGCAAACAGGAAACCAAGTCAAGCTGAACAACAACAATTCTGGTGGTAACTGAGCAGGACTTACGTCCCCAGACCACATCTGCCTCATTGGGGGTTTTGCTGTTTATAATAACGTGACTAATTCACGTGCCTGACTTTCTCTCGTGGACACTCAGCTGCCATGTCTTTTTTGCTATTCTCAGCAATGTGGGTAACTGGCCGACCGTCTCCCTCCAGGAGGAGCGGGCCGTGGTTCCTCACATGTCGCTACCCTCAAGAAAGGTGTGCGGACCAGGAGTCAAATGAATCCTTGTACAATCGCCAAAAGGTGGCAACGACCCACGCGCCCATCCGCAGGCGAGTGGATGAACCAATGTGGTCACTCACCGCCACTGCACTGTTCACGGGAAATGGGTGAATTTTGTGTTACGTGAATCCTACCTCAGTAAGAACAACAAAAGGAAGGTGCTGACCCTGGGGATGAAGAGAGGGCCTCTCCCGAGGGGCTTGAGGCCGCCCAGCGCACGCTCACCTGCCTGGCGATGCTCTGCACCAGCTTGTCCATGGTGAAGCCCACGTAGGCGTGGATGGTAAACATCTCACGCAGCGTGTCCTCGTACTGCGTGGGGTCGATGCTGCCCTCCAGCAGGCTCCGCACCATGTCCAGGAAGGCCGGGTAGTACTCCTCCAGCTCCACCTCACCTGAGGGGCGGGGACCTTGGTCACCCAGGGCGAGAGACTTGCGCGGCCCTCACCGAGATGAGCCCGCGTCTCTCCCGCCACAGGCTTCCTCGTACTGGCCCCGAGGAGCCACCCGCGTCCCCGCCCGGCGGGGGGAGGGGAGCACCCGTGCAGCACCCCTGGGGGCCCCAGGCCTTACTTGGCTGCTTCAGCCGCAGCTCCATGGCTGGGTCGTTGCCCTTCTCACGGCGGCCCTCACAGAGCAGCTTCTCCCGCTCCTTCTCGGTCCGATACTCCAGGAGCTGCTTCTGCGCCTGGCGGTAGATCTTCAGCAGCCTGGAGCAGAGAGTCTGGTGGAGGCGCAGGAAGAAGTACCAGTTGTTGTTGGCGAAGAAGAGGCTATACACATCGTCCAGGGGCTTGTGCTGCTGTGGTGGTTGCTCGGCGGCCGGCGGCTCGCCCACGGCCCCCTTCTCCTCCGGGGGGCTGCTCTGTGGCCCTGGCGCTGGCTTCTTCCGGTCAGCGGGGTCAGCGCTCTGGCCCTGGGGGCTCCCCCGGCCCTCATCGGCGGAGTCCTCAGACGCGCCCAGGTCCAGCTGCTGGGAGAAGAAGAGGCTGGGCACGAACTGGTGCACCAGCTGGTGGATGGTGCCCTGGTCCTCCTTCTGGATGGCTGGCTGCCGCTTCACGTAGTAGCTGATGAGGGCGGCCGCATCCTCCAGGATCTGCCTGTCCTCATACACGAAGATGAGGTGCGGCTCGCTGGAGGGGGCACTACGGCCCTCGGAGTGCTGCTCCTGGTGCTGGGGGAACAGGGGGCCATTAGGCAGGAAGTGACCAGCTGGGAGAAGTCCAACATGGGGGGGGGGGATGGGGCCAGGGCCACAGGGCTCTAAAAGCATCACACTCTGATCCGGGTGCAGCCCAGCGCCTCCCGCCTGCCCGGTCCCATTCCCCAGCCTTTTACTCCAACCACTGTCCTCTCTGGGTCTAGAGTGGTTTGATCTACAGGAGCATGGTCAGCCCTATCACACCCCCCTAGACCTTCCTGCACTGCTCATGACAGGACCGCAGTCCCTGGGCATGTGGTCCTGCAGCTCCCCCACACCTGGCCTCTTTCAATGCTTCAGGGGTGCTGAGCTCCCTCCTGCTGTGTGCAGGACCTTTGCACATGCCCCTCTGTTCTCTGGCCCTGGAAAACCACAGCCCCTGCTCAGTCTTTATCCAGCTTGTGACTGCTTCCTACGAACCTGTAGATGATCATATTCCCTCCAGACTGCCTCGAACTGCCTGCTGAGGTCAGGCCTGATGACGCTCTCTCCTGGGTGACACCGATGCCCAGCACCAGGTACCAGGCACCGAGGCTGACACACACCCAGGCTCTCGGAAAAGTGAGCGTGGATGCCATCCCTGCGGGTGGGGAGCTCCCGGGGGCAGGGCCGGGTCTCCCTCACCTCTCAGTGACCAGCCTGGGGTACAGCACTGAGGGGTCTCCTCGCACAGCCATGGAAGGAGTGACTGACAGACAACAGGCGCAGGGCCAGGGCCTCGGCTTTCTGGGGTGGGCGACTCCTGTCTCTTTCCACCAGAGGTCGTGCTCCCCCGGTGCCACTGAATTCTGCCACAGCCCGAGACCGCCTTCCCCCCAACAGGGAGGAGTCCTGAGAGCTGGTGTGCCCAGCGCCCGGCTCTGGCGTGACCTTTCTCCTACTGCTTTGTGAGTCCCGATCTCCTTTGTGCCACAAACGCCCTCAAAAATCTTTTCAAGTCCTTTCCCTGGGGCAAGTTTTGAGGCACAGAATACAGAACTGTGCTCTGCTAACGCCCAATCGCGAGGGGCCAACCTCCCTATGCACGAAGGGCTTGCACGTGCAAAGCTCACAAGGCTGGTGGGCTGACCTCTGGCCCCAAACGGTGCCCTGCCCTTTCCTCTTGGCCCCCAGGGCAAGAGCGAAGGAACGCAGCGGTGACCGTGGTGGGCCCCACGGGTCATCTCATCAACTCTCGTTCTGACGATGTCCCACAGACCCTATTTGGGGGAGTGGGGGTGGTGCTCTCGGGCCTGGACCCCCGACTTGGGGAGGGATTCAAGTGAGGAAGCCGACTTAGCTGCAGGTGGGCCCTGCGGGGCCGAGGGTGGCCCAGGGCAGGGAGGCAGGAGGGAAGGGGCTTCCTATCACAGGCCCTTGCAAGTAGCTCACTCCCTGCACGCGTTTTTCGATGCCTAAATCCTCGAAGCCTGGCCCCAGCCCGGCCTCAGGTCTGTGGTGCAGGCCCCATGAGCCTTACTGTGCCAAAGTTGGCAAGAAGGGGCAGGGCAGTGGCTAGAGGCAGAGCCCTAGGGCCCAGAGCCCTGGTCGCCTGTGACCAGCCTCGGCAAATGGCCACCTCTCCTGCCTTGGTTTCATCGCTAAAACCAGGACAATAGTACCGCATTGTAAGGTCTGTGAGCATGTGTCGGATGGAACGTTCCTTCTCAGGGTCTACCTGTGCCGGGCACACAGCTGGCAGCAGAGAAAGGAAAGCTGAAGTCACCTGAAGGAAGGTCCATCAAGGGCCCAGGGGTAAGCGGGGAGGGGAGAGCCCCCTGCCAGCCACGGCGGAACCGCTACAATTCTCCCCCCGGACCCGCTCTAGTCTGACTGCCACAGGAACACACCCTCCACCCCGACACAGCCCTGCAAGAGGGATGCTGGGAAAACAGAGGCACAGAGAGCCGGCAGCCTGCCTGAGACTGGGAGAGCCGGAGGTGGAGCCGGGACCCCTTGCCTGCTCAGCCCTGCGCAGAGGGCCTCACCTCGTCATAGACGCTCTCGATCTCGTTGAGTAAGCTCTTGGAGCGAAGGGCCTTGGTGTCGTTCTGTTTGAAGTTTACGGCCTGATGGTCCAGGGACTTGAGATACGCCTTCTCGTACTGCTCCCGCCAGATCTTGTTGAAGCCCTGCTGGGCCTCCCGCCACTCCTCCTCCTTGGCCTTCAGCCTGCAGGGTCAGAGGGGCTCAGCATGGGGACAACCCCGGGCACCCACCATGGGCAGCCTGTCATCCACCCACAGGCCCTGCCGAGTGCATTCCAAACTCGGGAAGCCGGCTCCCAGCCTGGGCCCCGGGTTCTGTGCTGAAGAAAAGAGGACGGGCGGGAGCAACGGCTCTGCAGAACCAGTGTGGCTGGTTTTATAGTTTCTCGAAATACCGCTGCCCCAACACCTCCACCCTGCCCTGGCCCATGGCACTGCCCACACTCTGGGTAGGTGCTGGATCAACCGCGGGGCTCACGCGCTTGGCTGCAAGCCCCACGAGAAGGGTCTATGTCAGCCTGGCTCAGCTCTGCAACCCAGGGCTGAGCACAGCACGTGGTCAAGGGCAGCCACTTAATTAATAATTAATACCTGTTCACTAGCACAAAAAGGCTCCCCAAATGTACTGCTAAGTAAAAGACAAGCCAAGACAGTCCTATTTGTGCTTTAAAATAGGTACTTTTCGTGTTTAGATAGGATTATGTGCATGGTGGTAAGTTCTAGAGGAACAGAGACAATTGTTCAGTTGTGCTTTTCTCTTGGGGGTAGAACGGGCGATGAAGAAAGACTGGAAACCGCACTAAGCCAGCCCGAGGCCCCGCGGACCCCCTCCCAATCACACTGGTGACAAACAGCACTAATGAGCTCCCCGGGGACCGCCTGTGGCAGGTGGGGCAGCCAAAATCTGGAGGACACCTTTTCAGGACGACGGGGACGGCAGTGACAGGGTTTTTCTTGAGGCTCTCGATGATCTCTGGAGCCTTGTCACCGTAAATGCGGTGGATGGCGCGGCGCTGGATCACCTCCGATGTGCCCCCCAGACAGTCGTCCAGCCGGAACTTCTCCTGGTCTTCAGGTGCCATCCGCGAGAGCTTCTTCTGCACACTTTCCAACACGCGGATCGTGGCCAGGTTGGTCTCCAGGACAACATCTAACTATGGAAAGGAAGGCAGGGGCTGGCTGCTGGGGGGCAGCGGGGCCCTGGGGACCGGCCTAGGTCGGCAGAAGAGAAGTGTGGACAGAACTGGTCAACTTCTGTGTCTCGGAGGCGGGGGGGCGGGGGGGGGGGATGATGGACGCCAGGCCGTGGAGGCCCTGAAGAGGCTCCAGGGGCCCAGAGCAAGAAAGGCTTGTCCTGCCTTGGTTTCATCGCTAAAACCAGGACAATAGTACCGCATTGTAAGGTCTGTGAGCATGTGTCGGATGGAACGTTCCTTCTCAGGGTCTACCTGTGCCGGGCACACAGCTGGCAGCAGAGAAAGGAAAGCTGAAGTCACCTGAA